GATGACCAGATTTGTCAAAAGAGTTGCTTAGGCAGATAAATTTAGATAAGAACATCCAACAGATCCTCCAATCAGTTAGGGCTCAGATGAGGCATAGCTTTGTTAGTTGCTGAGAACTATATCAGGTAAATCAGAAAATCTCCTTGTCCTTAAAGTAGGGCATTATATTAAATATAATTTTAATTTAATGTTCATTCTTCAAACATAAACAGTATAAAATTCAATCTAATATATGAGATAAACTGTAATTAAAGCCTTTTCAGAGTGCCCAGACTTGTAGTCAATTAATATTTGAAAGTTATTATGAAAAATGTTCTAAGACAGTGATATCCAAAGTGAAGACAGTGGTGGTAGAAATGGAGCCTAACCAGACATAAGTGAAAGATAATTCTGAGCAATTGACATAGATGACCAACTTGTTGCTAATAAGAGAAAAAGCAGTTCTTGTGACTTCAAGAGCTCTTTGACAACTAAATGGGTAGTATGATGCTACCAATATAAATACAAACTCAAAATAGAATATGCAGTGGAAGTAGGTAATTAGTTTCATCTTCCTTTTACTGAGGTTAAGGCACCGTTTTCAATTGGGGATATGTATTGGATTGACTTTAAAACTTTGCATTCAAATTTAGTAACGAAGGAGTTCATAGAAATATACTCCCTTGGGATTTTTATTTTTTATAATGAAATACAATCATTCAAAATCACACAAGTGAAGCTGAAATGGAGAGGACAAAAATTGCATGCCAAACGACGTCCCAACTTTTGGTACCTCATTCCTGATATCCAACTTTATTTCAATGCTACCAAATACTCAAATAGACAATTCTGATAAAACTTAAGAGGACAGATGGAAGTTCTATTAGTTACTATATCAAATTCCACTTACAAAAAATATTTTTAAAAATTAGTTCAATTTTTCACACATAAGATACCTGCTACAGCCCAATAGTAATTAATTTTCACTACTGATTCCTATCATTATGAAAAAAGTATAGTGAATAATTGAGAATTGGTGAAGACGTACCTCAAGCAGATTTGGTAAATAGATATTGATTAGAGGTCCAAACAGTAACAGGTGAAGAGGAGATATAAACTCAAATGTAAACATTTTTGTAGCAAATTTATGTAGGTTTTTTGTGGGAGAAGGGAGCAGGTCTATTTTTCTGTTGAGGTCATTGTGACTGGCCTTAAGTAATTGTTTTATTTAAACTTGACATTGATTTACATGAATTCATATAGCTATAGTATTCCAGATGCTATAACTTCTTTTGTTAGGAATCATGATTGAAAGATATAACAAGGCATTTAAAATAATCCATGTAATTTTAATTCCCTAAAGTTTAAATATTAGTCAAAGAAATAAAAATAAAATAAATTTGCTTTAAATTTTATATTTTTGAGATAGAGTTTTCCTCTTGTTGCGCAGGCTGGAGTGCAATGGCACAATCCTGACTCGCTGCAACCTATGCCTCCCAGGTTCAAGTGATTCTCCTAATTCAGCCTCCCAAGTAGCTGGGATTATACAGGCACCCCCCACCATGCCTGGTTAATATATAAATTTGCAACATTAGAGATACATGTCATTAATCTACATTGTACACTTTAACCAAACAGCATAGCAAGATGTTCACTGCAATTGATCTCTTGGTAATTCTTTATATTTTTATAGGCATTAAATAAATGGCCAACATGATACATTTTATGTTCAAGTGAGACTGTCTCACTCTCTGCTTATTAATACTGCTGATGTTCTTCCCATGTTTGCTTCAGCCAGATGCCAATATGGGGCTCTCACACTTTGTAGTTCTCCTATGCATGTCATTTTTTAGCCAATTGGTTCTTTAAAAAGAGTAAAACAGCAAGTTACCATTTTAAGGTCTACTTTTTACATGTAAAGGATGGAAAATTCTGATAAATGTAGGTCTTTATTGAGAACAATAAACAATGAACAGGAAAAGTCTATCCTTCCACACAACTATATCCATAGGTGTCCCTAAACAGGTTGGCTGTAGGTTGCTTCAAAGTACTGATGATTAAAAGAGAGCTTTCATATCATGTGAAATTGTTATGATCAGCTTTCTCTGTCATAATTTGTATTATACCATAAAATATCTAGATAGTATTATCTGTTTAATGGTATAAACCAGCTATGAAGAATGATGTAAGATTTTTAGCTGGACATGGTGGTGGGTTCATGTAATCCCAGCTACTCAGGAGGCTGGGGAAGGAGAGCCCACCAGTTGAACCTGGGAGGTGGAGGTTGCTGTGAGCGAAGATTGCACTGCTGCACTCTAGCCTGGGGGAAAAAGCGAGACTCCAGCTCCAAAAAAAAAAAAAAAAGTAAGATTTTATTACAGAACACCTCTTTCCTTGGATTGATACAGAAGATTAATTCTTTCATACTTTGGTAATTTTTTCTATAATTTGAAAATACATAACTAAACCACAAACCTTTCTATGACACCATGACAACTATAAAAATATTTTTCAAAATTAAGATGTCTTTTTTGAAAAAGTTTGAGAAATATCAGTATTTTCGAGAATACTGAAAGACATTATCTTTTTATTCCTCAATTATGACAAATGTTTTAAAACCTGGAAGATTACTCAAAGTTTATAATATAAACACAAATATGACATTATATTGGAAGAAATTGGCTCTGAAAAAATTTTTTTGCCTTGATTCTTCCATAGTTTTAGAAATCAAGTTACTAAGGGAGAAAAAAAATCAATATGTTAAGATGATTCTTTTAATTCAATAGCCATGAATAAATGAAAAAAAATAAATATTGGTTTTCAATAAGGAGTAAAAATATTTAATCTAAAACATATGTGAATAACAAATTCATAGAATTAAACATTAATAGAAATAGCCAATTATACACATTCCCTTTAAATTTTAGGGATCTGAGATCCAGAATGATTTTTTTTTTTTTTTGAAATGTATCACAAAGTTTATTAGAACAGGATTGGGAATTATATTGTCTCACTCAAATTATGATGAAATATCTACCATCAAATTTATCACATGTAATAATGCCAAAAAGTGTAGGAACCAATAGTCTTGGAAAATGTAACCTTCTATCATTTTATTCTGGAAAATAACCATGGGACCTCATCTTCTGTGGCTTCTGCCAGTGAAACATACTTTCAGAATTGTTTTTTGAAGACTGTTGATCGTCACTCCCATTAGCAAAAAAAAAAAAAAAATCATTGCTTCAACATTCCCATGAGCTTTTTTGTTATTGCTCTTGCATATTTGAATGCGTTTTGGTTTTGGGGTGTGTCTACATTATCATGAAATTGGGAAATTTACTTGGACAAGATGAAGAACAATGCTAATCAATTTAGTAATTACAGGAGGAAATAAAAAACAAGAAGAGATGAGTCAATATGTAGTTACAGATTTGTGTTTATAAGAAATAAATCACTAAAAGGTACAAATAAACTTTATTAATATTTTAAATGGAGTATATCTTCATGTTTAGGATAAGTTTGAGTTTTGTAGATCTTTAGATCAATTTTCTGTCTTAAGCACAAGTTAACAAAGTATACATTCAGAGTAAAAAGACATTCTTCTCCCTCCCCTTCACTGGAATATCCAGGTTTCAACATTCAGGTGGGTCACGTCCAGGCACGGTGGCTCACGCCTGTAATCCCAGCACTTTGGGAGGCCGAGGCGGGCAGATCACAAGGTCAGGAGATCGAGACCATCCTGGCTAACATAGTGAAACCCAGTCTCTTTCTACTAAAAATACAAAAAAAATTAGGCAGGCATGGTGGTGGGTACCTGCAGTCCCAGCTACTCGGGAAGTTGAGTCAGGAGAATGGTGTGAACCCAGGAGGCAGAGCTTGCAGTGAGCCGAGATTGCTCCACTACACTCCAGCCTGGGTGACACAGTGAGACTCTGTCTCAAAAAAAAAAAAAAAAAAAAAAAATCAGGAGGATGACTATCTGTAGCCAGGCATGCTGCCCTGTGGGGTTTGCAGCCTTCACAAATGCTTTATGGGAGAAAAGGATATGAAAATAGTTTGCTTTCATTTGCTCATCTATATACATTTCTCTTAGACTATAATATCTCCTCAAATATTTATCCATCTTTGCAGATTTGTAACTGTAAATATGAAACCACCTTTGCAGAACTGTAACAGAAAATTACGACAGTGAAAGAGATACGCCCTAACCAACTCCATCTGTTTTTAACTTCCGAGCTGTCCTTGCCCATTCAAAGGCCAAACTAACTTTGGGTGAAACTTAGTTTATAGTTTAACTTTGAAACCAAGACAATGACAGCCGTTTCTCAAAAAATAAGAATGAATGAACAAACAAAAAAAACCTTCTTCTCGCCTGAGGACTAAACTGCCTTTGTAGGACTAACAAATTAGACACAATATTAGAAATTATGGTTTAGGAGTCACGTAGCTGGAGGCTACATGATTCTGACCTTTCCCAAATTGTTCCTGAGGATAAGGTCAATATCGTAAAACCTAAGGTCAGCACTTGAGATATGTTGAAGATCCTGCACTTGATGAGTTAGCTGGCACCACCCAGATCAATAAACTGGTTTGCATTGTGGCCCCCACCCAGGAGCTGCCTCAGTGCAAGAGGACCACTTTGACTCGCTATGATTTCATTTCCAACCCAACCAACAAGCACTCCTGACTCACTGGCCCCCCTACCCATCAAATAATGCTTAAAAACCCTAGTCCTTGAGTTTTCAGAGGCTGATTTGAATAATAACAAAACTCCAGTCTCCCATACAGTCTCCAGTCTCTGCTTTCTGTGAATTAACCTATTTCTCTATTGCAATTCCCGTCTTGATAAATCAGCTCTGTCTAGGCAATGCCCAAGGTGAACCTGTTGGGTAGTTACATTTCCTCAAATATTTATCTACTGTGTTCTTGACTGAAATGTCTACATATATTTGTAAAAATATGCGTGTAAAATTATGAAAAACATACTTTAGGAATGATGGTTTTTGAAAAGCAATATTTACCTTTCATTATGTTCTTGCCTGTGCCTCACCTTCTGAAGGATGATGTCATAGAAAAGCAGGAAGCCAGCAAGACTTCTACATCTAGATCACTGATACCTATGGTTACCGGAGGAAAAAAAATGCTCATGTGTGAAGATCATCTTTCACTGGAATTAAATCAATACAAGAATGTTTACATTGCATGATTGTCATCACCACTGTATAAAATATGGCTTGTTATGGAGCTGACACAGTGCCTGATACCTTGTCCATTACAAGACATTCCAGTTTTTACTCTGCTCTCTTTCACTTCATCTCATTCCTATAAGCAGAAGAGTCAAATGAACAACAGAGCATGGCAGCTTATAAAAGGCAGCTTCATGTTTTGGGACGCTCCCAGGATAGGAAGAAACTGGCCAGTGTCACATCAGTTTAATCTATGTGTGGCAGTATCTCAGTGATCAATCCTATTAGAGTATAAGTATACATATTATTTCAAACAGAGGTAGGGTATGCCTGGTTTGCTGTGATACTGTTTAAGGAATAATAAAGTTCCCTTTTAAAATCAGGAACTTAACAGAAACAAAAAGGAGCTTGAATTTGAAAATCAGGAGGAAGCGAGGACATTCTGGGAGATAAAAAAGACAGACTACAAAAAAATCACCATGGAATTTCTAGGCAAAAGAAATAGAAAGATCTTATTGTCCTTATTTTACAGAGATTTTTGGGCCATAGTTTGATGAAGCAAATCAATAGAGTTGGTCCCCCAGGATGCACGCCATGTGACTTTTGGGGTCACTCAAACTGTTTTATTTTTTCGTTGTGGAAGACAAATATAGTTTTGTTATACGAAAAAACAGGTTCATTTTCCTGCTGTGCAGCAACAGACTGATTACATTGAGACAGCAGGGTTTGCAGCAGAGAAAGAGTTTAATGATCACAACACAGCGAGTGAGGAGATGAAAGGAGACTCTCAAATCCATCTCTCTGAGGAGTTCAGGCTGCAGTCTTTAAAGGGATTAGAGAAGGCAAAAAGCTGGAGGATTGAGATAGTCAATTGGTCAGGGTCAAGGGGATAAAATCATCAGGGGTGTAGAAACTGCATTTTTTGATGAGTCAACTTCTTGTGGAGTCCTTCAGACCTGCTGATGTCAGTGGGATGTATCAGGCCAGCTGACCTCAGTGGGGTTCCTCAGAACCGCTAAATTAGTTATTTTATCAGTGTGCAAGACCTAAAGAAATATCTCAAAGGGAAAACAATGTTTCATCAGGTTGGTGCAAAAGTAGTTGTGGTTTTTGCTAAAGGTGATTGGAAAAACCATAATTTTGCACCAACCTAATGTTTACATTATCTATCAAAGAGTTAAGGGGAACTATGATCCTATAACAGGGTCTACATGATTCTAAGACAATAGATACCAAACAACCGGGAGAAAGCAGGTGAGAGAGTTAACTGACTCAATCATAAATACTGAATGTACTGTAGCTTTGATTTATTTTGTCTCTCCCTATCTCTTCACTGATTAATTCTATAAAGTTTGTGGGAGTGGTTTCAGCTTTCTTCTTGTAAATACAAGAATTTGGGTTTGGAATTTTGGGAATATGCCTGACATGGCCAGGCTAACATGTCTAATTTTTATATAATATATGCTAAAAGCAAATCGGTTAAGGTGCTAGACAGAAAAATAAGATACAATCTGAATAATGCCTATCAAAATACATTTATTCTTTAAGAATATTAATACAATTTCTGATGATTGTTCTCAAATACATAATTTTCTTTTCTTGTGAAAGCATATTTTTCTAGTGATTGTTATTTTGGCCAACTTGATAAAACATTTTATTTCTAATAGTTTGCATATTGGTTTTTAACAGTTTTTCCAATATTTTTATGTACATAAAGATTTATATCTTCCCTTTTCAATCTTTGGACATTTTTTATCTTGTTTACCTTAGTTTGATTAGTACTTAAAGTATTTCTTAAACATGATTATATATGCTATTTATATTTTGAATAAAAACCCATATATTTCCATATTTATACTATTATCTCTGTAGTATGCATAATAGATATTTGTGACTCATTTGGTCAGTTTTAAAACTTATTTGGTTGCTTTAAAATCTCTTATTTTCAAGATGTGATAGCCAAATTATATTACAAAAAACCACTATATGAATATGGTTGATTTTGAGTATGTAATAAAATTGGAATTTCAAATGCACAATTGTGTCTCACTGAGTGACAAATATGTAGGGGTATATTTTTAAAATTCTAAAGCATGTTCTTACTATCCCTATATTCGGGATTTTCTTAATTGGAAGTAAGATACTAATTTATACAACTGTCTCGTAGGTTAAAGGTTGTGATTTTTATATTTTTATGTAATTGTGCTTATTGACAAATAACTATAAATAACATTTATGGGGTACATTTTGATGTTTTAATGTATGTGTATGTTGTAGAAAGATTCAATCAAGCTATCAACATGTCTACCACCTCAACTTATCACTTTTTTGTGGTAAGAATGAAAATCTATTCTTTTAGCAGTTTTGAAATACACATTGTTAACTGTGATGACTATGCAGTCAATGGATCACTAAAAATTGTTCCTCCAGTCTAACCGAAACTATTATTTGATCAATATTTCCCCTTGCTCCATCACTCTCTCCATTCTCCACCAGCCTCTGGTAACCACCATTCCATTCTCTGCTTCTGTGAGGTTGACTATTTTATATTCCACATATAAGTGAAATAGTGTGATATTTGTTTTTCTGCGCTTGGCATATTTCACTTGTCATAATGTCCCCCAGTTCCATCATGTTGTCTTGAATGACAGAATTTCCTTCTTTTAAGGCTGTATAATATTCCACTGTGTATAGCTAATATTCTTTATTAATTTTTTCACCGAGAGACACTTAGGTTGGTTCCATATTTTGGCTACTGTGAATAATGCTGAAGTGAACTTAAGATTTTAATGTACTGATTTCAATTTCCTTTGGCTACATATCCAGAAGCAGGATTGCTGAATCATACAGTAATTACATATTTAGTTTTGAGGAAACTGCATACTCTTTTCCAAAATGACTGTACTAATCTAAATTCCCGTCAACAATGTATGAGGTTTCTCTTTTCTCCATACCTTTACCACCACTGGTTATCTTTCATCTTTTTGACAATAGCCATTCTAACAGGTAGTAGGTAGTATTTCGTTGTGGTATTAATTTGCATTTTCTCAATGATTAAGCACAACTTGAACCATATACTTTTTGAAAAAATAATTTTAAAGTGAAAGTGTAAATGATTTTAAGTAAACATTATTCTTTTTCAATTAGTAAGTATATTAACCATGAAGAATGTTTATTATACATAATTAGAATAATACTGTAGTGTTTCTAATACATTTGTGTGAGTTAGACTTTTTAAGAAATTTTCACTTCCCTAAAAGAATTACATTGATAACACAACAAAAACTTATGTAAAACCTCTGAGTAAACTCACATGCTTGCCAGTGATTCAATATAAAAACTATATTAATGCCATATATAGTCAGATGGCCAAAAACAAAAGCCCTCATATCCTTTAAATCTATTTCAGTTGTATAAGTTCAAGTGCAATCATGGTTGCTGTTTGATTCCCCTCCAGTTTCAAACAACTTACACTATCCACAGTTTTATGTAAAAGAGAAATGAGGTTTCCATAAGTACGGCAATGAAAATCTCATTCACATGTTCCATATGAAAAGGCAAATAATTTCCAGAAGTTATAGCAACCACATTTTCATTTTAATATCAAAATGATCTAAAAATGTTTCTTTCAAACATGAAAGTTTATATTAAATCCATATATTACTACTAGATATAAAGTTCTAGATCATTTGATACCTCACTGTTAAAAGAATAACCATGTAGTAATTCTTTGACATAATACAAATGTGCAAATATATATTTTCACAAGTGGCATATAAGATGACATATGCCATATAACCAATGTTATCTTATATGTCATTTATGCAAATATATAAATGTCACACAACAAATGTAATATTTTCTTTATGGTTCATTTTTGGAGACAGTGTCTCACTCTGTCACCCAGGATGGAGTACAGTGGTGCAATTATAGCTCACTGCAGCTTTGAACTCCTGGGCTCAAGCTATCCTGCCTCAGCCTCCTGAGTAGTTGGAACTACAGGCAGGCACATATAACCACACCCAGCTAATTAAAAAAATTTTTTTTTTTTTTTGTAGAGAGGAGGCCTTGCTACGTAGCCCAGGCTGGTCTCGAACTCCTGGCCTCAAGAAATCCTCCTGCCTTAGCCTCCCCACATAGTAGGATTACGGGCATGAGCTGCTGCACCCAGCCCTCTATGGTTCTTGAAAATAAGCATCTGTGCATTAATGTAGGAATTTTATTTTATTTGGGTTTTTCTCCTATAGCTATGAATTGTCAGCATGAAACAACTGATTTTTAGTCACGTGAACAAAGATCTTATGAATGAGCAAGTGGAATCTGTAAAATGCATGCACACACAAATACACTCTTCATGAACATAGCCATCAATACAGAGTTAATTGATAATATTTGGAATATACATATGTGTGATTCACTTTGGCTTTTAGTTTTGCATATATACTGTCATGTAGATATAAATACGTATGTGTGACAAGTAAATATACTCCTTGGGTTAACAATGGAGTTATATCTCTATAAAACCATCCTAAATTGAAAATACCTTAAATCAAAATATCATTAATACACCTAGCCTACTGTACATTATAGCTCAGCTTAACTCAGAACACCGTTAACTACAGTTGGGCAAAATCACCTAAAACAAGGCCTACTTTATATCAAAGTGTTGAATATCTCGTGTAATTAACCGAACACTACACTGAAAGTTAAAAACAGAATGATTATATAGGTTCTCAAAATATGGTTTCTACTGAATGTACATTGCTTTCACATCATTGTAAAGTTAAAGAATATTTAAAGCAAATCATGGTAAACTGGGGACTTTTTCAAATAAACAGATTGTCTTCAAATTGCATACGCTTTCTCACTTCTCCACAAACAGCAAGCATATCTTATCACCACTCCAGGCTGACTTCTCATTTCTCTGAGAAAAGGAAGCAAGCTGTCACCACATTGTGACTTTTCTTCAGTTACTAAGAAAGCCCTGTCCTGGTTTCTTTGAAATGCCAAAATGTCCACATGTGGACTGGATCAATATCATTTTTCCTAATTCATTTTTATCTTCCATTTTCTACTTTCTTCTATTTTCTCAAATGGATTACACATATGCTAGTGTTCCTGTTAAACATAAAACCATCAGCCAGGTGATAAAGGTTCACAATCAGGTGATCAGTCTTCACATCAACAGTGATGGGTGAGATGGATAGTATGCGTTCTTGATCGGACAGGATGACAATACTGCTTTATATCCGTGGTCTTCCTCTCAAAACTCATAACTTAAAACTGATCATGAGGAAAGACAGCAGACAAATACCAGTTGAGGTACATTCTACAAAACACTTAATCATGACTTGAAACTACCCAGGTCACCAAAAATCAGGCACTTTGAAAAGGTCAGTCAAGACGACCCCAAGAAGATGTAAAAACTAAATGTAATATAATATGCTGCAACAGAAAAATGTCCTTAGTCAAAATCTAACAAAATCTGAATATAGATTTTAGTTAATAATTTATTAATATTTGTTCATTAATGGTGACAAACATACCATAGTGATGTAAGATATTAACATGGGAAACTGGATGTGGAGTACATGGGAATTATTCTACTGTCTTTACAATTTTTATGTAAATCAAAAATGGTTCTAAAGCTTTTAAATATTAAAGATAAATTAAATGCTACAACGTATAAAAACAAATTACATCTCTTACTATGGAGATTGTGGACTACACCAAATCTCTTGATCCATTCCATCTTCTTCCCAGGGACACAGACTGCATTTCTCAGTGTCTGTAGTTGTATAAGGGACCACGTGCTTAGTTGCCACCAAAGTGAACAGAAATGTGTCCATTTTGTTCATAAAAGTTTAAAAGCCAAGTGCAGTGGCTCACACCTGTAATCCCAGCATTTCAGGAGGCTGAGGTAGGAGGATCGCCTGAGCCCAGGAGTTTGGGACCAGCCTGAGCAAAATAGCGAGATTCCCATCTTTACACAAAAATAAAATATAAATTAGCTGGGCATGGTGGCACATGCCCATAACCCCAGCTACTTGGGAGGCTGAGGCAGGAGGATCAATTAAGCCTAGGAAGTCGAAGCCGAGGCTGCAGTAAGCCATGATTATGCCACTGCACTCCAGCCTGTGCAACAAAATGAGACATGATCTCACGGAAAAACAAAAGAAAAAATTAAGAAGCAGGATGCCTCCTGCATATTTTCTTTCCCCATCTGTCATCTGGGATGAGAATTTCCAAATGAGGACACAGCCACTCAGTGAAAGTAAGTAGATCTCTATGTGACTATGAGGAAGGCCACAACCAGGTACTATCCTTTGGGTTTTAGAAAAATGAGAAATAAAGCTGTACATATATATATATACACATATATATATATATGCTGTACTTATATAGAAATAAAGCTGTACTTAGATACATATATATTAGGGTTACAACAGCAGGGATACCTACCTGCAATAAGGCTGGATCCTATGTACCACTTCAGATGCTGATTCATTTATGTTCATTCACTTCATACTCCTGTTTCTACTCTAGTTTTTCTAATTCTCTCTTGACTTTGGGCCATGTTATCTTTTGGCCTCACCTCTAACACACTACTTCTTTGTGAAACACATCAATAGAGTCCATTTTTAGCCATACTAACTTCATAGTAAACCAATAATTTTTCAGTCCTCACCTTACAGCCTGGGTGCCAGCATTTGGTATGGTTCACTACTCCTTTTTCCTTTAAATTCTTTCTTTACTTTATTCTTATTCTCCACTTACCTAACTTATTCCTCCTGCCTGCTACTTTTGTTTCTCTTTCTACATTCACTCCCTTAATTTACTTCCTCCAGGCTCATGTCATTAAATACGATTGCTTCGTCAAGTGATCTTAAATTCATAGTTTAAGACCATTTCACCCTTGAAATTCAGATTTTTATATTCACCTTGTTAGTAAAACATTCCACCTGTGTATTTAACAGAAAAACTCAATGTTAATATGTCTAAACACAAACTTCTGACTTCTGACCCACATTGGCTTCCTTAAAGGTTTTGTTCATTCCAATTAATTACAAAGCTGTTATTCCAATTGTTTAGACTTTAAAAAATTGGAATAACCCTTAACTATTTTCTTTCTCTCACATCCCACATGTAGTAGTCCATCAGAAAATCCTGCTTTTTATTTAAAATATATTAAGGTTTTGACTTCTGTCAAGGTCATCACCAGGACCACGACCAGAATCCAAGGCAAAATAATGTTTCACCTGAGCCACCATGTGACTAGTATCCCTAATTTTGCGTTTTTTAAATCATTTCACTCTTCACACAGAATTAACCTTCTAATATGTCATTAAGATCATGCCACATTTTCTGCTCAAATCCATCATGGTCAACTTCTTATCTCACTCAAAGTAAAAGATCTTACAGTGGGCTACTTGGCCCTCCAGAAGTTCCTTTTGCCCCATTGTCAAACTCTTCTTGTCTCTCTCAGTTATTTCTTTAAATACTTCAACTACTTTTCCTATTATTTACTGTGTACCTTTCTTGCACTTATCAGAGCAAATTTCATCGTCAGGCCTTCTCCTAGGTTTCTTCTGCTTATGGAGTTCCGCCCCCATGTATTTATTTGGCTTACTCCCTTGCCTTCATGTCTTTATGCAACTGCTGCTTTTATCAGTGAGTCCCCACCATATTGTTTAGAAATTTCACTTCCTAATACTCTCCTCGCCCCCTTCTTTGCTTCTTTTTTCTGAACCCATATTAACTTCCATGTTGCTATAATCATTAGATTTATTTGGTCTGTTATAGTTTGCTCACTGTTACATCCCCAGAAATAGAACATATGAGCATAAAACATAAAGAACGTACAACTTGTTATACGGATATTTGAATACAATATAGACCCTTTTCAAGTCAAAAGAAAACATGCCGGAAGCTCATTAGAATAATTTTCTACAAGCTGATTAGCTCCTGCTGTCACTTCTCTTTAGGAGTCTTGAACATTTTAGAGTAATTGTTCTTACTTTCTACAGGTGATCTTAAGTGTCTGTTCAGGTGGAATGTTTAATGAACAACAGATTGTGTCTTTGACTATTAATATCCCAATCTATTGGGCCTAAAATGTTCCCTGATGGTAAATGGGCTCCTGCAGCTATCACTTTAATTTTGTCAGAAAGTTACACTTATTTTTCTAAAGTTGTGACTGATTTCTATATCCATTTCTATTTTTTTATAATCTTTTTAATCTATCTGAAATGACACAAAGATATCATTTTAAAGCCTACCTTATTTTAGGCAACATGATATAATTGAAATGAAGTAAAACTGTATGTGAATAATATATATTTGTTATATATGTGACAGTAAATATTTCCATAAATGTAGAATTACAAATATATACATATAATGCATATATACATATATATACACACACATATATAACATCCTGAACATAAAGAAAACGAGTTATACAGAAATACATAAATGAGTCATATATAAAGCAGTAAGTTATATATAAAGCAGTGAAATATATATCTACATAAAGTGGTTCATATAAATTACAAAGTGACAACACTTTAATTGACTTTGATAGTCTAGAAACTCTCAACTTGGTGAATAATTTGTGAAAGGTGTTGCAGATAGTAGGAACAACACCTAAAAAAGGTTGAAGACAAATTATGTGAGATGAAGGACTTTCTCTTCTGGAATACATGATTTAATCACAAAAGACCAACATATTTGTCTAAAAACAACAAGAAAAGCTGTTTGACCACAAAGGCGGTGAGAATTTGAGGGGCTCAGTGAATGGATACAGAAAGAAGACTTTGAGGTGAGCTTAATCTTGTATTCCACTTTCTTCCTGAAGTCAGCTGTCTACTAGTAAGCCACACTGTGCAATAACTTAATGTGATTAGAGAGCTGTATACAAAAGTACTAGGTAAGCTGAGCTTTCAACAGTCTCATGGGCTCAAAGGATACAAGTATTGGAATACATGGTCAGAAAGGCATTTAGAACTTCAAATGCTAAAATTCTGAGGAAAAGGGACATACAAAGTTCAATCCAATATTCTATATTCCTTCTTGCCTTGAGGCATATACTGATTTCAAATCAACACTAGGTTAGAGGTAAAAGGTTTTGTAGATAGTGTTGTCTAAGAGGCTGAGAAATCGAAAGTTTGTTAGGATCAAAGTGAAAAGAAAAGAACAATTTCAGTTCAAGGAGAATCAAGGATGAGAAGCACTGGAAAATACCAAGGATCTGAGTTGGATCTATTGAGTTGCTATGCCCTAGGAATAAGGGTAAATTGGAAATAAACGCACTAGAACTTAATACAGCAACTAATTTTAAAAACTGAAAAGACAAGCTTAACAGAAATTTAGATGCATAAATAGAGTTGAAAGCTGTACTGGAAGATAAGTTAGTAGAAACAATACAGATGGAAGCACAATGGGGAAAAGATACTTTCAATAAATGCAAAAAGTTCAGCATTTACACACAAGAACATATGGAAACAACAAAAATAACCCTGGGGCAGACCAGAGTGGCTACTTTTGGAAACAAAAGATGGAAAGGGAAATTGAGATTAAACAAAAAAGTATAATAAGAGATGATCAAATTTCAACTCTCAAATGGATAAAATTTGCTGAAATTCAAAACCAAAATAGTTGTAAGAGAATAATTAATAAATTCTACTGAACACAGTGGAGAAAACAATGAATTGTATCTGGAAATGTAAGTAAAATCTTACCAGTTGAGTGTTCCTGAAGAAAGGTCGTACACTGGCTAAATTCCGCCATTTTGCCTCTTAGGGTGCTGAGATCTTATCTGGAAGCTGCTGATCACCAACTTCAGGTGTTTTCTAAAGCTGCTGATCACCAGCTTCAGGTGTTTTCTATCTGTTGGGAGCCTGCCTTTCATTGGTAAAAGCTGAAGTCAATTATGTTAGAGAGGCAGTTTAACAGCTGCCTGACCATCACCTGATGCTCTCTGGCATTCCTGGTATGTGTGGGAGGGCCTCTCCTGCCCTGCTTATGTCTGCCTGCCTACTCTAACAGAAATAATGGTTTTATAATCAACTGTGTATGAGGCTATACTATCAATATTGAAATATGCTACATAAATAACATATAAATGTCCAGCTTTGAGGGAATTCTTTCATCTTGCAAGTCTAGACTGATTCATTGTTTTTCAATGAGCAGGCACAGGACTTCACAGAAAAAGAAGTTCTGGAACTCTTTTTATCCATAGCCTTTTCAGTTCATCAAAATTGAGTCAATCATTATTCTAGTTTTTTCTGGCTTTAGTCTTGCTGCTTATTCTCACTTTTTCTTCAAAGGATCTACATGATCTTCTTTGTTATAACTCTGACTCTCCTAACTCCTGACACAATACCTAAGGCCTCCTCTGTCTCCTGGATTAACTGGAATGTCAATTCTAATATTACCCTCACTTCAGACCTGCTAATTTGAACTCAGACGGCAAAATGTTTTACATATAAATTTTTTAGTGTATATGTTATTCAAGCTAAGGTTGGTTAAAAATGTATTTTTTTGGCATAATAATTAAAATGTTTAAAAATAATAATGCATGAAAAGTTACCTGTTTTTTAAATGATTTCTGAGAAATATACATATATTTATAATACTTGTTTTTATAACCATATATAGTATTTGAAAAAAAATATAATAAGAATTTGATAACATTATTAGCATTACTACTATAAAAATATAGTTATAAAAAATAATTAAAATATTCTAAAATTGTAACTGTTTTAATATTTTCACTGTATGTTAGCATATAGTTTACTGTGATACCTACTTTACATTTTGAGACATACTATAGCATAGAATTCTATATAGCATAGAATAAAACGTTTACTTTTTTTTACACATCCACAACAGTTCTTGAGTCATCTAAGTAGAATAAAAAGCCACCTGCCAACATTCTTTGTGTATAAACACATTTTAACTTTGTAACTCATCTGTCTGCCTACAGCCACCTCTACATCTAAGCAGCCATGCAGTGGAGAACTTGAGAGTGAAAGGCCATTTGACTTCAAACCCCAATGGAACATGACTCAGCACAAAATGTAATGTAGGCCACAAAAACTAATGGCGTTGACTATGACATATGCTTTTCTTTTGCAAGGAACCACACTAGCTGCCTGCTCCTACTACTTTTCTATTTCACTTCCACAGTTTTGGTTTTAGTACCAATCTGCATATAATCATCACATAATTGTGATGCTTAATTTTTTTCTTCCGACATAACTCTCCACCCTATCCTGCATTATTCCTCATTTTGCATATAATTATGTTTCTTCCTGACTAATTTACAGATATGTTGAATTCTAATTCTATTCAGGAGTAACTATGCATGGCCTGATACATGATTTTTCAAGTCTGCTCACTCTATAAACTTATTATACAAACACAGTAAAATGATGACTGCATTTTAGAAACATTTCATATTGCCATGGATGAATTTACTGTGACTATGAGCATTATCCACTCCTCTTATTCATTCTTAATAAAATTACATTCCTTTATTAGCTAAGCAAAATTCATTTCCTATAGCTAATATACAACAGTTCATAACTTACTATTTCAAGCTTAGTTGATCATTTCCTATAGCTGATACTCATTGATTGATCACTTGCTGCACAATTCCCTTTAACTATTAACTATTAACTAGAATTTACAAATAATCATAAAGTTGAATAATATACATTAGACTTTCCTTTTCTGTTTGTAAATAACAGAGATAAGATATTGTGTTGGGAAAGAGCTAGAATAAATGTGAAAATAACTGGTTAAACTACTTGCTTTTATAAAACTGCTTGACCGATAAGTGACTGAGTAGATTTAGCTGGTAAATTGAGAATTATATTCACATTATATATGGGTTATCCATGAGTTAGATTGTTCCAGTATACTTAAATGGAAACAGGTAGATACTCTGGCAGAGCTCTCAGATATTTAAATTTTATTTTCTGTCAGACGGAATCAATGCTGACAAATTCAAAGGAATTCTCTTAGAACAGGGTAAGATATCATCTATAAAATGCATAGCACATTGTGTGCCACATGGTAGAATATACACATATTTGCTTTCTCGTTGTAATCATAGAATATTAAAGAGTTTTGTTATTGTTACTCTTGTGCTTTTTGTTTTCATTTTTATTGTTTATTTAATCAACCTCTTTAAAGTAATAATTCATTTTTATAATATTATTTTTCCCTAAGTTCCAAGAAAGAAATGGGAGTCCACAAGGGTATTATGACAAGGAGATTCATTGGGGGCAGGTACTACAGGAAAGAATGGGTTGAAATGAAAGAGATCAACATCATAGATGTCTAAAGGAAGGAGGTTGCAAAGGTGTTCAATATGGAATATTTTTTCAACATAAATGCTGGGTATTATGTAATACGATATTTTCTTGTAACCTCATAAAACATTGGTGAGAAGAAAGAAATTAGTAAATGCATACAGAAATAGGATTCCTTATTTATACCAATTAAAGACTAAATGGCAGGCATTTCAATGTAACCAACACTGGTGAGGAAAATCTGACAGCTAAGAATTTTTTGTTGTTGTTAGTAGCTCATTATGCTAAAATAAATCTCTTTAATTGGATGACTTTCATTCTGGATAACTTTTTTTTCCAGTTATTTATTTCCAATAGAATAAAACTTAAGTTTTATTTTAAGTTTTATTTTATTGGAAATAAATAACTGGAAATGTAAATGTAAATAAATAACTGGAAATAAATAACTGGAAATGTAAACCTGACACAGCATAATGGTTAAGTACATGGGTACTAAAGAGAGATTGCAGTGACGGGGGATGAGAGAGTCTATGCCTGGCTCTGCCACTCAGTAATTGTTATCCCTTGGCCGTGCTACTTATTATCTTTGCCTCAGAACTCTTCTGAAAAACCAGGACAATGATACTACATATCTCATACAATTGTTTTCAAGATGAAATGTGTAAATATGCATAAAGCCCTCAAAATGATGACTGGGGCATATTAGGCACTGAAAGCTCCTATTTATTGAGAAAACCAATATTAACAACATTCATATCTGCACTAAATCCTCACTCAAATATGGGCAAACGAAATGCCTACAAAACAGACTGCTGAGTAGAAATGTGGTCATAAAGTTAATTATCAATGAGTAAACAATTTAGAATGATGAGGATAATAAACTTAGTGTCATCACACTAAGGGAAAAAATAGTAGTCTTGACTTAGTAACTAGTACAATTATGGGTTTCTAATCTCACCTGAGTTTTTCAGACTTTTTATCAACCTTTCGATGGTAACTTGAATGAGCATGTAAACGTATGCAACAGAATAATGGAGAGGATGGAAATTAAATGCAGTCTTACTCTTAGAGTTCAGAAGCACAGCTTGAGACACGAATGTGAGTGCAGATGGTTTATGTTGTAATAATGAAGAAAAGGAGAAATGAGAGAGAGAAGGGGAGAGAACCAATAAAGTGTGCCTCTATGAGAAATTTACTGCTGTGGTTAAACCTAGGCCCAGTCCCACTGGGGACCTTTAGAAATGTATTTAGAAGCCAACTTAGTGCTCGTCCACCTAAGAGTTGAAAGATCTGAGTTATGCATCTACCAAGTCCACCCCATCACTGTCCCCACATAGTAATTTTCGAGCTCCAGCGGCTTGTCCTGTGTATGACCAGATCTGCCCCTGCAGCCAGAGGCTGTACTCAGCAGAATCTGCTGCTTGTTTTGTAATAAAGAGCTTCTACTCCAGGCAAGATCCTTGGATTCAGGCAAGATCGATGCCTGAATTGGCCTCATACTTTGAACAGCAGTGCATATCACAAACTCCTTCACAGAAAGAATTAATTTTTCCTTTGGGGACTCATAGAAATTTTTTTTTGAACTTTGGTAACCTTTAAGCATGAGAGGTTTGGTATGGAATTCTGTGTGAGTGGAACTGAGCCCTCCCTGTCAGGGACGTGAGATTGACAGCACAGAAGTGAATGAGCAGGAAAAAATCACAGGCACTCTGTGAAGCCAGAGGATGAGTATGTGTGGCTTCTTTTGCTGAACAGTGCAAATAAAAATAATTCATGGGAATAGCAGGAAAGATGTTATCCAGTTCCAGACAATGCCTATGAGAAGAGGAATGGAATTTGTAGGAAAGATAAATTTGTTACTGGACTTGGAAACTTGAAAATAAAAAGGAACAAGCTACTATTTGGACCAGATATGTCTTGGGAAGATTTCATGTTTGTCTGTGATTGTGGTAAGGCATTACAGCTGAGAGGTTTTAAAGTATCATGTTGGAATTAATTTAACATCTCCAGGCCAAAAGAAATGGAGCTTTTTAAAGGAAAAATAATAATGATATAAGAGAAAAGGCAGAAAATATAGAATTTAGTTTTTGAGGTTATGGGGCATGTGGCCCAAATAACTGCACATTTGGAAATCAAAGTGATATTAAGAATAGTTCCAGTAATAGACATAATTTGGAAAAATTTAATCTATGAAGAGTTGAAAGAATTCAAGATTAATTTCTGAGATTTTAATGGCACTGTATATTAGGCAGTTGGGATTGGGCAGGAAAGTGTGGATGTTTGCCAAAACAGAATGTAAATTTGTAGCTAGAGGTGGGGTGCAGTGAAAATTACTGAAGGAGCTGAAGTTGGAAGGGCTAAGATGGTGGGAACAGGGCTTGGAGCCAGGAGGAAAGCAAGACACAAGCCAGAGCTGAAAGAAGAGTGGGAATGGAGCCAAGGCTATTATTAAGATAGTAGAATGGAAGTTTCAGAGAGATGAGAAGGAAAAAGAGATGAGACTCAAATACGGCATTAGGGACTACACCATGGAAAGGGGTGGGAAAACAAGCCACAGTTATACAAACCATATGAGGTTCATTTTTTCTAATGAA